CAATTTTGCTAAGCACGAACAGGGGGAGCACCCAAAGAGCACTGAAAACTGATGTGAGGAAGAATTCCAGCCAAGACCAAATATCTCCATGCAAGGACGGATCACCTAAAAAGAGCAAAGTGTGATTAGCTCAAGTGGAGAAACAGAAAAAACAGGAAGCCAAATATGGTACTCTGGTTTTCTGCCTATTCTTTTTTCCTCTCACATCGTTCTCTCCAGCATCACCACTCTACTTGGCTCAGTCTTGTCCACCATACACACACCACATTCTGTGCCCTTCCCCTCAGAGTAACCAGACCTAAAGGTGCTGCTCATCTCGAAACAAACCTGCCCACAGGGTGACACTGAGAAGTCAGTTATTAATAGTAGACAATTAGGAGGAAACCACCCGGGTTTAAATCCCAGCGCTGCCATTTACTAATGGTTTAACCATGGTAACTAACTTCCATTTCCTCATCAACTGTTGATGAGACAGAACAAGAGTGCATTTCTCAAAGGGTTGAGATGTCTGAGTTAAAAACATCTAAAGCTCCTGATCCATAGGAAATGCTCAACAACCATAAACTGAGGGGGACGAGAAACATTTCCTACTCCCTTCCCGGCACACAGAACAAAACCAGGCATATACTCACCAATAATCCGGGCTGTTACTGACTGAAGCACAGGAATAAATACTCGATAAAACAAAAGGAGACTTAACTAAAAAGGAAGAAGCAATAAAGTGAGTGTCCAAAGCCATTCTTTAAGAGTTTCAAATTTCAGCTTGATGATTTTCCAGATAGGGTGCCTGTTAAAAATCAGGAGGACTAGGGCTGGGATAGAGCTCAGCAGCACAGTGTCTATCTGGCAGGTGCAAGGCTCTGAGCTTGATTTTGTACCAAAAAAGAAAAACAAAAAGTCCCTAAAAAAAAATAACCAGGGCTGAGCATAGTGGCACAACCTATAATCCCAGCACTTTGGGGCTGAGGCCAAAGGAGTACCGCAGGTCTGAGCCAGCCTGAACTACACAGTGAAACACTATCTCAAAAAAAAAAAAAAAAAAAATCAGGAAGATTAGCTGGGCGTGGTGGCATACATCTGTAATCCCAAGGGTCAGATGGCATAGGTAGGAGGTTGGAAGCAAGTTTAAAGCCAGCCTGGGCTACACTGTGAGTTCAAGACCAGCCTGAACTACATAGCAAAATTTTGTCTCAAAAAATATTTAAAATATACCAAAGGGGCTGGAGAGATGGCTCAGTGGTCTAAAGCACCTACTTAGAACAAGCTTGGCAAAGCACAGGGACCGCAGTTCAATCCTCCAGCACCACATGCCAGCCAGCCCGCCCCCTGGTGGGCTGAGATGGCCACACACACACACACACACACAATAAATGTTAAAATAAAAAATAAATAAATAAAATATACCAAAAAGGGCCAGGGAGATAGCTTAGCCACATAAGCGTCTGCTTGGCAAGCACAAGGTCCAGAGCCCAATCGCCAGTAGAGCAAAAAAAAAACACCACACACACAACTAAAATACAGCAAAATATAAAAACAAAACAGGAAACCTAGCCAAGCATGATGGGGCATGCCTATAGTCTCAGCATTCCCGCTGGGCAACTTACTGACTTAGTGAAACTACATTTCAAAATAAGAGCTGGAGATTTAACTCAATGCCATACCTAGTACTGCATGACACTCCCCCACCCCATCAGGAGACCTGAAGAAACACCAAAACCACACCATTTCTATTTTCCAGTACAGAACTGAGCATGCAGACTTGACACTGCTTACACAACAGTGAAACTGGGTGGGGTGGGCGAGGTTATTTTAAGCAGTATCCAAGTCAAGACACAGAGGCATATACTAAGTACACAGTAAATATTTACAAAGTAAATCTAAAGCTAACATCTAACAGCATCTGTGAAATGTTCACATAAACGGAATTACAATGAATTCCAAGTCAAAGGAAACACTTAAGTTACCTACTCTTCAAAGATGCAAAATTTCACTTAAAACCATGCTGGTTCTCAGTTAATTACAGGCAACCTTTTCTGCCCTGGGTTTCCATATTGATGAATTCCACCCAGCCAGGTGTGGTGATCCTAGCACTCAGGAGGCTGAGGCAGCAGGATCACCAAGAATTAGAGGCCAGCCTGAGTTATAAAGTGAGTTCAAGGCCAGCCTGACCGCATGAGACCTATCTCAAAAAAAAAAAAAAAAAAAAAATCCATCCTACCCAATTACTATGACCCAAAAGGACAGCCTTGCTCTTCTTCAGCTCTATCTGCCCTTCTCCTCTGATCTCCATAAATCTCTTTGCCAAAAAGCCTACACAGTATCAATGGATAAGACTACTATCAATGTATAAGACTACTAAAGCTTGGCAATGATTCATTAAAAAAAAAAAAGCCAGACACAGTTGTGATAGGCCTGTAATTCCAGCTACTCAGAAGGCTGAAGCAGGCGGCTTGCAAATTTAAGAACAGCCTGAGCTTCAAAAAGACCCTATCAAAATAACATTTACGAGCCAGGTAAGGCAGCACACACCTATACTCCCAGCACTCAAGGCTGAAGCGGGAGAATCACTGAGAGTTTGAGGTCAGCCTGGGCTGCACAACGAGTCCAGGCCATCCAAAACTACATAGTGAGGCTCCCTCTCAAAAAGGGTGGGCAGGAGAATGTCACTCAGTGGCAGAGATCTTGCCTAGCATGTACAAAGTCCTGGGTTCAATTCCCAGTATCATGAACAGAAAAAATAGTATATTCTATCTGGAATAGGAATAAAATCCCTGTAAGTACACAGACTCCTAAGTTATAATCTTAAGTGTGTGTACACAGTTAAAAGCTAATGTCTTAGTGTTTTAAGCAAACATTTAGGACCACTAACCTAGCAACAATCTAAAGATGCCTATGAGACATCTAGAATTTGAAGAGAGAACTTACCCAGAATACTCCACCATTCCAAGCACAGCAGTGGAAAATTCTTCTAACAATGCATGACTCGCTGGAAAAGGTCACAGTCTTTAGCACACAAGAGATAGTGGATTTCCTAGCCATACTCAGTAACCCACCATTTCTATGCCTTCCTTTGCTGACACATTATTTGCAGTACCTTACTCTCCCAATATTCTGTTTTTTTTGTTTTTTTGCAGAACTGGGGATTGAACTCAGACCCTTGCGTTTGCCAGGCAAACACTTATTCTACTGAGCCATCTCCCCAACCCCTTCTCCCAATATTCTAATACAATCACTAAGAAAAAATTAAAAATATTCCTTAATAACCACTTTTCTGTCAGGCGTGGTAACCTGTATCTGTAATCCCATCATGCAGGAGGCTGAGGCAGGAGGATTGCTGTCTGAGGCCTGCCTGGACTACCTACTGAGTTCAAGCCGAGCCGGACTGCTGAAACTTCCTATGTAGGGTATTCGTGCTATGCTAAGATCAGTCACACCCCCAAGCACCTAGCCTGAGACATTTTCTGACGGGGGCTGCAAGTCTCACCTGTCTTGCTTCTTCCGCTCTATACTCTGGGTTCTCCTCTGAGCCAGGACACCACCAGGCCTTCTTCGGCGCTGCTCCTCTCTCTTTTGCTGGATCCGAGCATCTATCTTGGAGATGGTACAAATGCCCCAGATGGAGTCTTTGATTCCCTATAAAGATATTTTTAAATAGGAAAATTATGGATTATATGAGACTTTCCAAAGTTACATAGAGGAAAATAAAGTAACAGTGGAATCTACAGAACTAATTTTACTATAAAAAAGAGGGGCTGAGAAGATGGCTCAGTGGAATAAGTGCTTCCCTGGCAAGTGCAAGGGCCTGAGTTCAATCCCTGGTTCCGCCAAAAACCAAAAAAAAAACCAAACGAAAAAAACAAAAAAAAAGAATTTAAAAAAAGAGACCTTTGATTTTTTCCCCCCTCCCTTCCTCTTCCTAATGTCTTCCGGGGCTAGGGATATACCCAGGGCTTTGTGCATGCTCGGCAGGCACTCTACCACTTAGCACTCAATTTCCTTTTCTTAAATGACTCCCAGTCTACAGAAAAGTTGCAAAAATAATGGATAACTTCCAAATACCTTTTATTTTCATCTGCCTAATGTTTTGCATGCTAAGATGCATATACTTTTAATAAATCATTTGAGTAGATTGCTAAAGGCCTTTTTCAGTGTGACATTTTTTTTTTTCTTTTTTGGCAGAACTGGGAATTGAACTTGGGCCCCTGCACTTGCCAGGCAAGCACTTATTCTACTGAGCCATCTCCCCAGCCCCAGTGTGATATTTTCTAAAAACATTTTCATACCACAGGTTATCAATTCAAGCAATTTAATACTGAAAAACTTTTTTTTGGGGGGGGGGCGGAACCGGGGGTTGAACTCAGGCCCTTGCGCTTGCCAGGGAAGCGCTTATTCCACTGAGCCATCTCGCCGGCCCCTTGAAAAACTTTTAATGTGCAGTTTTGCCAGTTGTTCCAAAAAGTGAGTGCCGTGGCACTATTTCTCAAGAGATTAGGCCAGCATCGCATACACTTAACTTTGCCCTTTTGCTTGGTTTTTTGACACAGGGTCTCACAGTATAGCTCAGGCTGCCCTCAACTCACCATGTGACTCAGTCTGGCCTGGAACGTACTGTGATCCTCCTGCCTCAGCCTCCCAAGAGTGCGGGTATTAAAGGGATCTCCTGGCCTTTTGGTCTGTTTAAATCCACATCAGGCAGGGAATAGTGCGTGTGGAGGACCACGAGTAGCTCTCCTTAAAAGAAGAGCGACTCTCTCCATTTTGGCTGAGCCTGACCCTACTTCCTTATACTGGTATGTACAGAACTGGCTAGGACTTCTCTTTAGCCTGTCAATTGGCCTTAAGCAATATACACTGGTCTAGCCAAGGTGCTGGGGATAGTCTTTGAAGGTGGCCTGCGTGTTTCCCTGGTAACCTACAACTGCTGCTCTTTAGTGTGAGCCAGGTCGAGACAGGAGGAAGAACCAATGCTCCATGCCACCAACTAAGATTGAGCCTCGAGACAGAGGCTATGACTTCCTGGGGCTTGAAATACTACATCAGAGCTGAAGCACCAGACCTCCAAAACATTAGATACTAGCTCAATAGCATAAAGTAGACTACTTTCTCTGCATATGACACAGATAAATGCAAGCCATCTATCTAGCCCAGCTCACAGTACTCACCTACATCCCACAATTCTCTTCCTCATGCCACTCCTCCTTCTCAGCTAAATAAACCTCAAGTGTGGCCCTGGGTTGGTCTCTTAGTTCCTGAAAGCCATCTTCATGGCTGGACTTAGGGCTTCTTGGCTCCCCAGTTATTATAAATGTCTTAGTGTGTAGTTAACTTGATGGGATTCCAATAACTTGTACTTCTGGGATTATATAGACTTCTTGGGGCAAGATGAGAACCAGGAGGGGACTCCTACAGTGAGCACACCTGTAATCCCAGAATTTGGGAGGCTGAGGCAGGAGGAGCTTTGTGAGTGTCAGACGGCCTAGGCTACAAAGTGAGTTCAAGGTCAGTCAGAACTGCACAGTAAGACCTTGTCTCAAAAAGACAAAAAAATTGGGCTAGGGAGACAGTTTGTTGGTCTAAGTACCAGCCTGGCAAGTGCAAGGACCCAAGTTTGATCCCTAATACTGCATGCCATGCTGGCCCCAGAACCCTGGGCAGGATGGGCCATCCTGAAACCAGTTGTGGTGGTGCACACCTGTAATCCCAGTGCTGAGGAGACTGAGACAGGAGGATTACTACGAGTCCGAGCTATGTAGTGAGACCCCACACCAAGTAAGTAATTTTTTTTTTTTTGCAGTATCAGGGATTGAACTCAGGACCCTGTGCTTGCCAGGCAAGAGCTTATTCTACTAAGCTATCTCCCTGCCCCCAATAATTTTTTTTTTTTTTTTTAAGGCAAAAAAGAAAAATAAAGCTCCATCTAAATGAGCCTTAGCCTTTTTTTTTTTTTTTTTTTTTTTGGAGATAGGATCTTATCATGTAGTTCAAACTGGCCTTGAACATGTGGTAATCCTCTTGTCCATAACCACCAGAATGCTGGCATTACAGATGTGCCCCCATACCCAGCCTGTCTTTCTTTGAAGCATACAGCAGCTATTTTATAGAATGTCCTCAGAGCTTTAGTTCATTTCCTCATGATCAGACCCAGGTTAAGCTCCTTTCTGCAGGAATATCACAGAAGAGATGGTGTTTCCTTCAAGGTACCACATCAAGACGCACACAGTGGCTATTTGCCCTGTGGTGATCTTAATTTTACACAAGCAGCTTCTCTATTATATAGCTGAATTTTTTTCCTCTCCCAATGAATAAGCAAGCTATAGGCACTCTGGAGACCACACAAATACCCTGTTCATCAAATTCCCCCTCTAGATTTAGCACCCATCAGTTCTTGCCCAAACTAATCTCGAGTAGGACGGGTACCAAAGTTTCTAATCACTCTGCCAATATCCATACTATAATATCAAGTTATTGTCTTCAGTATTCATTAAATACTTGTAATATTTCCTGTATCCATATTAAATCTAGAAACACAAGGGTAAATAAAACACCGCTCTCAGGTCAGGGCAGGGCACGGTGGCTCACACCTGTAATCCTAGCACTCAGGAGGCTAAAGCACAAGAATCTCCCAGGCCAGCCTGGGTAGCGTAGCAAGCTCAAGTCCAGTCTAGACTACATGGCAAGACCCTGTCTCAAAAAACCAAGGGGCAGGGGGCTGGAGAGATGGCTCAGTGGTCTAAAGCACCTACTTAGAACAAGCTTAGCAAAGCATCAGGGACCGCGGTTCAATCCCCCAGCACATGCCAGCCA